TCAAGTAAAACCTTAACTATAATATCCTTGGTATCTCTAGGAATCTTGGGAACTATAATATCAATCGTAATCGCACAGACCTATCAACTATGGAATTACGTTAGTATCTAGATAATTCTTAGATAAAACGATTACACTAATCGCGTCGCGTAATTAGACGCGTTATCGCGGAAATTATGCATGCTTCGACTGGTTTATTTGAGCAACTGGGGCAAGGGAACAGACAATTAGGGTAATCTAAGCGACGATTTCGGTCTTGCTTACGTGTAATCGCATTCACGATGCAACGGATTGATAATTTCGTGGGAAATTAAAGGATGCTATACTTAAAATTCCTGAGGATACCAAGGATATTTAGAAAGAGAAAAATTTGTTCAAATATCAATCTCAATGAAATTTCATCCTCTTAATGATCTTAATTGCGGATAAGATGCATTTCCACTGCTGGCGTGGAGGAGAAAGTGATCAACACTTTCTGTTTCTTCACTTCCACCTACACCGTGGTAAATATTACGATCAGAGCTGAATTTGCAAAGAAAGGTTTGATGAGAAAACAACGGAATGAATTTCCTAGGTGAAACACATGAACGCCACGTCACTCGAGCAAGGCGAAATTCCTCATCCTGGCGTTGGGCCCGCAGGCAAAGACGACCCCGTGGTGCATCATGCCTACTACCAGTGGGTCCCCTTTGTTTTATTTTTTCAAGCTATCTTCTTCTACGTGCCTCACTACCTGTGGAGGAATGCTGAAGGTCAGTCCCGTTATACGTTCACGCTGCTTCTATACGTCTCACGCGATTCTCCCATTTTCGACATTTTCCTTTTCAAACATTACGTATAGAAGCTTAACATCTTACTTGCTGCTACTCTTCCACAATTATTTCTGCTACTTCTTACACGTGTATTCCATTAAAATAAGGACAAGCTGAAATCCCAGCAGCGAAATTGAAGGAACGTTTTAATTCTTATGAAATTTAGTATACCGGAGCTTTCTCAGTCTGCTAATCACAAATCTGAAATCAAAATTGCATGCGATGAAGCTTTATGATCTTAATAAGAACAAAATTGGTTCTAGCGAGTCAGAACATTCTTTCTACTTTGTACTCGAGTACTTACTTAGAAAATGAGTCCAGTAGTGGTCTACAATCCACTGAAATGTAAAGAATAGGTGCAGAAACTTAACATCTTGCTTAATGCTACTCATTCATAATTAATCTAACTGCTCCTTATACTTGTAGCCTGTTAGAAGATCTGTTTCCTTCTTTAGCGAATGCAGAAGCCCACGAAGAACTTTTTATTTCAGGGTCCGATCAATCCTGACCTTAAACATTTCCAATAGGTCGATGGCATTTAATGTAAAAATATGCGTTGATCCAGGGGGTCGTTTGAAGGCGTTGGTGACGGGTTTGCGTATGGCGTCGATGTCGTTGCACGACACTCCTTTGACTACCGATAACGGCATCACGGTGCCGTCGAAGCAGGAACGTGACGACAAAATTCGACAAATACGCGTCGCTTTTTTAAATCGTATCCATCTGAACCGACCGTGGGCGTACTATCTGGGCCTGTGCGAGGTTCTAAATTTCCTAAACGTGCTGGTGCAAATTTATTTAACCGACTGGTTCCTCGGTGGGGCCTTCCTTGGGCTTGGTCAATCTCTAGCGGATGACAAGTATAATTCTAGAATGATGGATGCCCTCGACGTCACTTTTCCCAAGGTACAGTGAAAGTTCTCAATGAACAAACATCCATCGTAAAGATTATCTTCTCTATAACGTTCCAGGTAACCAAGTGTTTGTTCCACAAGTATGGTCATTCAGGATCGATAGAGACGCACGATGCGTTGTGCGTCATGGCGCTGAACATTGTCAATGAGAAGATCTACGTGTTCCTTTGGTACTGGTTCATCATTCTTGCGGTGATTACTGGTTTGGGACTGGTGTGGCGATTGCTGACTATGCTGTTACATGCCAGGTAATTATTCGCTACCTGAAAAGCTTCCTGAGAAGCTTCCTGAGATGCAAGGTTCTTCCAAATAGGTTTTCCTTGTTGCTCAATCATTTGTACACATCCGCAGGAATAAAGTCTTCAATAAAGTCGTGTTTCAAATGGCCTGCCCAGGGAAATACAATCCCTGGAACGTATTGACGGTTACCCATGAGTGCCACTTTGGAGACTGGCTGTTTCTTTATTACATAGCGAAGAATCTGGACAACTACGTGTTCAAGGAACTTCTGCACAAATTGGCAGAAGACATGCAAGCGAAACGCGACGAATTTCTACGCATTCCTTCCAAAGAGGAGGAGGAAACGTTGAAGATGGTATAATGTATCACTGCGAGAGGCTTTGCCTCGTATGGAACTATCAAAGTATCTGGATCAATTTTCTAAGGACAGTTACGCTATGTTTATACCTTAGATATTGGTCTGGCCTGTTCGAGCGACGTGTACCTAATTAGTCTTGATTTTTACTGATTAACAATTAAGTGTAAATAGATTGCTGTGATCAATTATGTACAGGGACATTGATCATTTCTCTTTATATCACGTTTCATCTTGTCATCTAAACACAGAGTAATTATTATTTATTTAGATCACATGAAAGCATGCTCGGATCATTTTTCTGTCGAAACGCAACTTGATTCGACTTAATGGATAACTATGTTTGAGAATAAATCTGTACAGTTAACGCAACTGGACTTCCTGAGTCTAATCAATAAAGCTTAAACTAACTACTTTAACTTTCTCTCAATCGGGGATCATTGTTGCCCTACAACAATACAAAACATACGAGGAATACAAAGCTTTTCATACTCTTCGTTCGACATGTATCATCTAGAGCCCTCGTATGCCCACTTGTGTGTGCAGGTAAGATTATATTGAACTGACCTTTTGAGCTGGTCGGCAATGGGAGAGATTATTAAATCATGCAGGAGAGGTTGATTGGCTTCGCAACGTGGTCCGAGCTGGAATTAGACCGTTTGGTCTAATGTGATCTGATGACTACAAACGAACATAACCTAAAAATCTATTTCATTTTGTGCGCTGAATTGCATTGGAACGTTACCTCGAATTTTCCCTGTTCAAAATCTGCACTTAAAAAGCGATAATGTACGTTTAACAAAAAGGTATTTGCATCTAGATCACTGAAGAAGCTTCAGTGGGCCCAAAAGTGTACAAAAGCTTATATCGCGCATGCGCGTAAAGGAGATCTTTGGAAAATTAAAAAAAAAAAGTTTCAAAATTCAGATTTTCGAAATCTTCTTTATCTTGAATATCATAGCATAGGTATTAATTAATCATTAAATGATTAACTACTTTTCTTTTCAGAGTGGAGGTGAGGGGGGGGAGGGGGGTAAAGGAAAAAAATTTTTTCTTCCAAATTCACGTTTATTTTATTCTTAAAATACTTTGCCGATACAAACAAAAAAGTGCGAGATATAAAAATTCACAATTCAATGTTCTTCGGTTATCCTAGCGACCGGGGCTGTCTCCTTATCGCACCACGAGAAAAAAAGGAATTTTCTGTAACCTAACCTCAAAACCATAAAAAAAACATGCCCCCTTACGAAACCTCGAAATATCTCGAGAATTACGCATCGGATCAAAAAGAAAGTGAGTAACGAAAGTTGTTCGTCTCGAAGAGAGGCATCCAATGATACCGATCTCGATCCTCATCGTCGCTCCCTTAAGGGTGGAGGGGGGGGGGGGGAGGGAGATAAAAAATTTAAACGACAACCCGAATTTTTTATTACAGATTTGGATTCTCCAGAAAAAAGTACCTCAATTTGACCGACGAGTTTTCGTATTTTGGTTTACAGACGGCGCTGCAATCAACCAAAATCAAAATGGGGTAAAAGATCGTTGAAAATCGGGGATATCTCGATAAATACGCATCAACCGACGATCAAACTATAATAATGTACTTAGTTTCTTTCATATTTACAAATAGAATTACAACGGACTAATTATAATCTTAATTAGAAATAGATCTCCGAAATAATTGAAAACGCTAAGTATGAGAGGTTAGGATTCTTCTGGAACGTTCGACGCATGCGCGGGAAATTTAACCTCGTTCCCGTGCACACGTTTCGTTAATAACACATCGCGTATCTTTTACTTACATCTAGAATCAACGATTTCGCTTACGTATTAACCAGATTGCCAAATATTCCGGACGCGCAATCTTCGCTAATCGATTGTGTCGTTAACTTTAACGGAAAGAAACCGATTACATAACTTCTTGGTCGTTATCGTTATCGATGGCGCGTCTCGAGGAATTACTCGAATGTTTCTGTCCGGAATTAGCGTCACCAAAATCGAAAAAAAAAAACAACAGGACCATTATCCCACAAAAATCGAGGTAACTTATCGTCATTTACACCTTCCTTTTAAAATACAAAATAGACTCCTCACGTTTGTTTTTTAGCAAAAAAAAAATACTAAAATTCTTTCGGGAAATCTCGACGAAGGAGTCGCAACTTTTCCTTTGTTCGTCGCTGGGGAACGCCCTGCATCGAGAATTCCTTTCAACTGAAACCTGTTCTTTAAGTAGGTACAATGACTTCGTTGTTCCATGAGTCAGTATTAAAAAAGAAATGAGAATTCTCTGCAAGAGATTCTTCTCGCGTCTGGGGTTGAGCACCACTGGTCCCAGGTGGCCACCACTGGCCCAAACGTGGGCCGTAACAGACCCCAAGGCAAAATTTTCCTCGACTTAATGACAGACATCCTAAACTTAATGAGAAACTAATCCTCCAGAGAAGCCCGGCGCCCTTTAAGTTCGTAATTGTACAGTTTCGAATTAACATACCCAAACTTTGGATGAGAACAGCCTCAGGAGACATGCCCGGAGTGTTGATTCTGAAATATTGTATGAGGTATTCCGAGAGTGTTTCAAGAGCAAAGGAAGATTTAAGAATGCGTACCGTATTTCCTCCAGTATTCCTGCGTGACGGGAATCCCTATGGGATCTCTGTGAAATATCTCCATGCCGTTGCCATCAATTGCCATGCTCATCGGTCGACTGAATGCACATTTAAGAAAAAAGAACCATAAGCAAGACGTCTGGAGTCCATCATGCCATTCTAACAATGTAATTCTTACAAAGTAATTGGATAATTTATTAACTAGTAAAGTAGGTAGATTTGTCAAGGGTACAGAATTAGATGAATTTCATACAGGTCGGTCCATTAAGTGCACGTGTAAGAAAAAAGAACTGTAAACAAGACATATGGAGCTCCTGATATCATTCTAAGAAACAAAGTAATTGGGTAAATTTATTATTTAGTAGAGCAGATTTATCACAGGACAGAACCGGATGAATTTAATCCATGAAACAAAATGATTTTCTTTGCATCAGTACAATAAGATGATGCTCGTTTCAAGCTAATACTAATAAATATTAATATCAATCAATCTTAAATTTGTATAATAATAATAATAAGATTGTAGTAACGAATATTCACTTAATCATCATTTATAAATATTAATATTTTTATCTTAGGTTATGTTATAATTTCGAAAATTTGAAAATAAATTCCAGTGACTCGTGAATATCCCTGACGTGTTTAACAAAGTTTTAGTTTGAGGATCCACGAGAAGCAGACGCGAGCAGAGTCGACATATATTCGTCACAATTGACACGATTGACCCGCAGGGGTTCTCAACTGGACGCCCATACTGGAAACCGGTTTGACGGGTTCGTATATACAATGGTACATTCCAAAAGAGTGGTGCGCTGACCGCTTAGGCTCATAAACTCGGAGGAAGCTACGTGCTCCAAGCTTTTTCAATAAAATTAAATCATCCGCACTCATTGTTTCAGCTTTTCCACCCACACGATGGAGCATTTAAGCACCGTCTTGGTCCCTACTTTGAATGTTAATCATTTAAAGACAGCAGAAATAAATGAAGAGTTCTCAACGTCGATATAAAGAGGATTCATCCAGTTTTTAAGTGACATATCATTACTGGGAAGCAACAGCGAGATAAAACAGTATCACTCTTTATTACTTTATCGTTTCTCATTTTGTAATGAAGCATGTCTTACTTTAAAGCTACTTCAACTTTAACTATTAAGAATTCTTTACTTAATTATCTCGATACTGATGTCTCTATTAATTAAGATCTGATCTCATCGTGGAATTAATATGAGACTCCATAGAAAAAAATGGGAATAAAATTTACACAGAGACTCACTTTGTTAAATACAATACAAATTAAAACATCGTCTTCGACTAGCTCCTAGAAACAGATCATTAGTTGCCTGTGGATATCATTGAAGGAGAATACTGTACATCTGTTCAACTGGATCTCCCACTCAGTATTAATCAAGAGCACTCAAATTAGAATTTCAAGCTTTACGTAACAGCTCTGAGAACACAATTCACGCCCGCTTGATTTATAAAAGATGTCAGGAAACGGCGTTTACGCGGCGACGCAACAGAATCAAATGATTGCTTACGAACAATAGCTGAAATGCATTATGCAACATTGAAGGCTCTTGAAACAATTTTCGCCTGGTGCACTCATCGGTGCTACTGTTTCAACGGATTGCCATCCGATCGAGATCTCCCCTCTCGTCTCCTTATACTCTCAGTTATACGCAATAAGTTATTGTAAAATATCTTCTAAAATTTGTAAAATGAAAATGTTGTTGTTCGGTACTTTTTCCCTTTTATTTTTAAGAGGATTAAGATTAGAGGTTCCTAATGGTCGATAATGTCTCATAGCGCGATGGAGACCTCTAAAAATAGTCATTTCTCCAACGAAATTACATTTTATCAAGCGTCAGCTGTCCTTAGGCCTCCCTTCCGGGCTTATCTCTGACCCTCGTACAAGAATATGCAGTTATCTGATCCGATCGAATACCCTTACACCGAAACCAAACGCTATCACGGGATAGGTCAGCTGAGACGTTTGGCAAGGGACCTCGCGGAGGCCTCCCTTCACAAATGAAGACGGTAACAACATTCGTTGATCTCTCAATAATGAACATTCTGGAGTGAAACTTTTTTCCCTTGTAGATCTTGTAGAACTCTACAAAC